ACATAACCACATCTGACCAAAAAGTCATATGGGCAATGCGCCCAGCGAGTTTGTATGCGGCCTGGACTAACTCGGTTCGCTTCCTACTTAACAAACCCCTGAGACGTATTGGGTTTTGACAACGTCCAGCGGCTGCACTGTTCATCTCAATTCAGAGGATTTAGTGGAAAGACGGGTATGAAACCTCTGTTACAAGGTAGGGAAGCATATCAGAAATTTGGGAACAAAAATATCAAACAGCTATAGAAGACTTGTCGAAACTGTACAGTGACTGATCTCATGAAACGTTGGCCGAAATTTTAAAGTGCTTTTTCAATTGGGCCGGATCATTTAGGTGGGGTTGTGATATTGATTATCACGCGGTATAATCCTGTAACATTCCGCACTCGCCGGGATGCTGGATTTTAAATGCGCTTCTTTCGACCTCCTGCGAAAACGACACTAAGCAAAAATTGACTGATTGCGTAGTATGAATTTTTCACATTGATTTTCGATGGCCTCCTAAATTCGAGTTCATTTTATAGAAGACATTAGACAAAAATGCTTTCTTTTACTCATTGGTAGCAGATAAAGTCATCTTAACATTTCATACTCGATGAAAGGGTATATATAGGTTCTAAAGAGTTTTGTAGTTCACGAAGTATTTTGAGTCAGATCAGCCATCGCATTAGCGTTTAGTAACTGAAGTCTGCAACGTCTGTGCTTTCTGCGTAAGAATAGTCGATTAGATCGCAGTTGGTAGCCAGGAGCCGTATTACAGGTGGCGGGGGTTGTTTTCTGAGGCTGTTTTGTGAGGCATCATAATCACATCTGACCCATTTGGCTTCCGTTTTACGTTCGAGGTTAGGATTGGGGTGCCGGTTAATGGTTTCCAATTTTCGGGTTAGGGTTATGCCTTTTGGCATGGGCTTTCGGGTTACGGTTAGGGTTTGAGCGTATTACGGTTAGGTTTTCCAGTTACGGCCATGTCTAAGGGCTACGGCTTCGGTTACGATTTCAATTAAGGTTAGGGTTACGGTTGTCGTTAGTGTTTACAGTTAATGTTTAAGTCTGAGGTTAGGTTTAGGGTTAAGTTTTGCATTAGGGTTAAGGTCAGCGTCCGCTTCCCTATTCCCGGCTACCAACTGAGATCTTACCGAATAGCCATATATTCCTCCACTCCTTAAGAAGATAACATAAATTGCTCACAATATCTTGCAGTGGATGCAGACCATGTTGTACACTTCATGAGGGACATTTGCAGATGAACAAGTGCGATTCTGTATGAATGGACATGCACGGTCTTAAAAACCCCATAATTAAAGACTCTTTAAAACCGTAAGGTCACTCCTTCTTCGAGTATAAAATGCGAAGATGACGTGGTTTGCTATTAGATAAGTAAAAGAAAGCGTATTTCTGTGCATGTTTTTATTGAAAAATATTTGAATTTGTAAGGCCGTCGAAAATCAGTGTAAGAAGACATACTACTAAGTAGTTCTCTTCCACCGAATACAGTTTTTGCAGGAGGTCGGAAGGGAGTGGATTTAAAAACCAACATCCTGGCGAGTCCGAGATAATATAGGATTATGCCGCTTGATAATCAATGTCGCAACGTCACCTAAGTAATTCAATTCAATCGTAAATGCATTTCAGAATTTTGGTCAGCACTTCATGAGATCAGTCACCCACTGGATAAACGAATTATTCCAAGTGTTAAGAACACAGGCACTACTAAGTACCTTGCGCAGTAGTCAGTCTATGCATAATTGCGTTGTAGAAAAAGTAGTACGACCTCAGTTATTGGCAGGCTCCGGTTGCAATGACTTTGGAAAATTAGGAAACTTAAATCAAAAAGCAATCGCTACTGAAATATAAACAGTAATGCTACAATAATAATACATGGTTGGCACGGAGCGTCAAGATTGCGCTTAAAAGCCTAGGAGGATGAGCACATAACGACACCTGCAGTCAGAATATGCCAAGTTTCAACCACTGCGGGGAAAAACAGAGCCCCCGTGTGTTGAGCCCGGCGCCAGTTACATGCGATTTTCGTGAATGAATTCGGAGAATCGTTGTGGTTGCTAACTCAAGGAAGTCCCGAGGTAGAAGACACCAGTCCTGACCGCCCATTATGTTTGTAACTGAGAGGAAAGAGGTCAAAATTAGATAACCGTGTTTCGTAGGGTAGTGAGCCCTGACAACTTACGAGCTTAGTTGAACGCCTTTGAACTTTTTCGAGGATGTTGAGGTCTTTAGTGGTCCAGGGTTTCCACGATTGAATAGCGAAATCCAACTGTGTCCGCACAAGCGTCTGAAAGACTTTAGCTAAGCAGCCCTCATCGAAGTTAGAGAAAGCCCGCTTGACATGGTCAAAGACTGATATTCTGAAATTCACCACCTTTGAACAGTGCTGCGACTGCTTAAACCCTAAGGGAGAAGGGGGGTTGAGAATGCACCCTAAGCAAATCGTCCGAAAACATGTCGACTTAAAGCATACCAAGATCGAAACTCAACAAGTAACAACAACTTTTGTTTCCCTCCCCTCTAAAGCTGCTTAGATTCGTCCGCTTGATAATGGACAGAACAGCAGACTGAAAGGGAGGAAGGCACGCTAGAGAATGGACATCAGTGCTCTTGGCAGGAACCGCTTCTCTGAATAAGGCCAACTGGAAGGAGTGGGTGTTGGCTATACCTTTTTCTGGAGCGGCTGCCTAAAGATGGAGCGACGTGACTCGAGCGCCGCCTCAGCCGCCCGGAACGGCATCGTGAAACGACTATCGTGTCTCCAGCAGGGCGCCAGCAGCCATTACATGAACCTGTACCTGCCACTTCGGGGAATCACACTCGCCCAAGTTGTCAGTGTCTAGATCCTCCATCGACAACCAGCTCCGGCGGGGCGAAGACAAAGTTTCAGGAGACCCACACGTCCTCCCGGCGACTGGTTCAAAGGAGGACATGCTAGTTGTCCTTGGTGACTTTAGTGACCTCGACGGGACAAACCACTCTGCCTGGAGGGGAGAGCTGTGTCCCCATGGTCTCGACGGCTGCAACGACAATGACCTCCTCCTTTTGCGAACCTGCGCAGAACACCGTCTCCTCCTCCTCCTCCTCCTCCTCCTCCTCCTCCTCCTCCTAACTATCACCCTTTTCCGCATTCCAACGCGAGAGAGGGCGACCTGGATGCATCCTCGATCGCGATGCTGGCATCCGCTATACTACGTTTTGTTTGGGGGCGAGGAGGAAAGCACTTGCAAGTGACCAAGGTGATCTTCAGCGTCGACGCTGGACGGATTTCCGCCTCGTCATCTTCAAGATGACTGCAAATACATCCGACGCACCAGTGTCAGGAGTCATCGGTCGGTCATTTGCGATTCCAGAGACTGGCGAACCAGTTTTTGGAACACAAACATACACCAGACGCATTTGCCTAAACTGTCCTTATTGCACCCTTACTGAACCAGTTCTTCTAACCGCATGGTCTACCGTCTGACTGGCAAGCCACTGCAAGAAGTCGACGCCCAGAAGGACTTGGGTGTATGGATCACAACGTCGCTTGAGCTTTCGCTGCAATGCTCAAAGGCACATTCTATACCTCGTCAAACGGGCATTCTCTGATTCGCCAAGGTCTTTCGAACTTTTGTGCGACTGGTGACTGGTGCCCGGCTAGACCCATGAAAGTTCTTCTTCTCCAACAGAGTGGTTGCAGCTTGGAATGTTTTGCCGCAGGATGTTGTTATGTTGGGATCCGTAGACACTTTTAAACGGAGAATAGATCAACATTGGGGCGCGCACTACAATAACGCCGGACTACAGCCACCTTGATAGCCAATGTTGACAATTTATTTTTGTGACGATGCTACTAACAACACTCAAGTATGCTTTAACTGTCTGCTGCGTTTACTCGACAAATCGAGTTCATATGCATTTAAATGCTGTTAACTCATGAAGTCCTACGTTCATCTGTACATTTTTTGTTATTCCCTTTGTATTTCATTTACGTTATTTCCTTTCCATTTTTTCTATCTACTTCCTCTGCATGTAATCAGTAGGGACTTCAAAGGTACACACCTACTTTCCCTGAAATACACTGATACACTGATTCTGTCATCGCATGGGCCTATTCATTTACATGCACCTCCATGAGAACCTGCGGTGAATTACCGCAGATTAGGCCACATCACCACACATTTCCCCGGTAATACATGCATCGTCCGTGTATATCTCCGGCATCACTCACCGCAGTGGGTGATGAGTATGTTTTCGATTCCTTCTCTGTGCGTCTCCTCTGCCACATGTGAGATACGGGCTGTCTATCCCCTGTGTGAAGTGCTGTTGAGAATATGAGGGCAGGCAATGTGTGGGACACGCGCAAACGAATCTCTTCCGATCTCAGAACCAGTCGATTGACCAGCTCGGACAGTCGACTGGGTAGAGCGCGGGAGGTCGACGACTCAGTGTATAGTCCTCCCTGTCAACAATTTGATGTGCTCGCATCTGCCCTGTTGAGCTTAAGGCTGTGGCTTGGATGTTTGCCAAATAACGCTCATAACCAGACAACGTAGTGAGTCCAGTTTGTTTGAGCGTTAAGTAGGCTACTGATGGACTGAGATGCAGGCTGCAATGGCTCCTTCTAAATGCGGCCTCTGTGGCACTCTTGCTAACTGGGAGTCCGAGCCCCTGTGGTGATACTCGCTAAGGTGCGGGCTTTCGCCGTGCAAGCCATCTGTGTCCTCTCTTGACTCCGTCATAATCCGGGCCCAAGTGACGGAAGAAGGTAAAGTGAGATGGATACTGCGCAAGTGTAACATCATTATGAACTCACTCTCCCTGCCTCCACGCTGTTGTGGGGCGGACGAGGGACATTGTCTGAAACGGCGTTCCAAGTGTTAAACAGAGTACCCAGTCAGTTACGTGATAGACAGTACATATCTTACAGAGGTGATCTGTAAACGCCCCAGGTAAAACTTAACTGTTTGGAAAGCGTTGCCTCCGAGGAATGTTAAACTTAAGACCATGCAGGCCCCATGAATGTTAAAATCAGTTTTTTAATATTAATTATCCCTCAAAATATCTGTAACTTCGCCTACTCCTCATGAGCAAAACAATAATTTTTATTGGCACAAAGAGTCCGATTTCCGAATGGTGGCTACATTTGAGTCATATAGTAAAATGAAATTTCCTAAGGTCCATTTTTCATTAGTAAGCGGTTCCCCAACACTCGTCTTTCCTACTATCCTGAACCCACTCTCTATTAAATTAGCATAGAAACGATGCTTGAACGTGCTTTTGCTGGATTATTTTTATCTTTTATACCGCTGGAGTGGACATGATGGGTCGAAAAATCTCATTTCAATCGACTCCTTCATCATGCATCAGCGTGTTCCAGCGGTTCTACCGACGTTTATGTTTTCGGACAGGAACTGTTAGTGCAGTTTACCTGCTACTTTAAATTTGTCAGTAGGACGTATTATGTACATTAATGCAAGCACCGTACATTTTGCGCACTTGTATTTTACAAGTTGGATTGAAGGAACCCAGAGCACTAGCTTAATATAAAGACTAGGAAGAAAATATATAACGGGAGTAAACAGGCACATCGGCAAGTTGGCGGGAGAGGGACAAAAGTCGAAAAGAGCAATGAAGCCATCACAACCAAACAGGATATCTTGATAGGCGAACACATTCCATAGATGATAAAAGAAATTGGTTGCTCATGGCCCTCTCGGCATGAAAAATGATGAAGAGAAGGGAATAAGTGTTTCTTTTGTGCCAATGTGAATAAATCTGCGACCGTTTACTCCGAGGTCATTAGTTTCTTGAATTCTGAAAGGAAAACCGAACGAGTGTTAAAACCGAGGGTCAAGAAATCCGAAAACGGGGTATTCATAGAAAAACAGAATGCTGTAATTTTCTTTGGCAGGACCTGCAGGTCTCTTTTATTCTGTAAAATTTGAGTGGAGGTGAATTTTTAAACCAAAATCACATGTGTCTGATGGAAGTTAAAACACGTCATACAGTTATTTAATCGAACATAGATCATGAAACTGTCATCACGAGAGGCGTGATCATCTAAAATGAATAACGGAGCAATGCGTAGAAGCACTATTGGCAAAGCTCGCGTTTCTGCTACGCCTTGATGGCGATGATTTAAAGGGGGGAGGGGAGAATCCGAAACATCATCCGTTAATCGATCCTTGTTCCTTCTTAACTGCCAGATTAAACATTCCAAAAATAGTCCTTCAAACGTTTAAGGCCTCTTCGCAGTTATGAGGCTGAGAACTTACCATCAAAGTCAACAAAGCCGGATCCGTCGGTGTCTGTGTCACGAATCATCTCGTCGATCTCTTCCTCGGTCAGATCATCTCCGAGGCTCTTCAGGATCCATCTGAGATCCTCGACATCGATTTCACCCCGTCGGTTCTTGTCGAGGACGCGGAAGGCCTCGCGAAGGTCCTTCTCATCCTGGTCATCCTGCAGCTTCTTACCGTAGACGATAAGGAACCCCTTCAGATCAATGAAGCCGGTGGCTGTTGGTAGTGAAAAAGAAGGCAATATTCGCAAATAATGACGCAACGCTGACTGTCTAAATACACCGCTTGCTAAATAATTCTATGAAAAAAAATCATCTCTTTAGTTAACAACACAGCGACTTAGACTTTGAGGCTTTGAGACGTTTTCGTATCACCCCACAAAAGACAGGGGGCCTATTAAGAAAAGTACTTCGTCAGGCATGTAACCACAACAGCTTTATGCGGTTTGCACAGTCTGTCTCAAGGATAGGCTTTGGAAGAAAAAATCTTTTGGTTTTATGGGGCCTAGCACACTCATGCACTTAAAGCAGATTCTTGCAGTGCATGTCATACTGCAATCTCTACGACAGCGCACGGTTTTTTTGCTGAGGAATCCCCATGTCATTTTACTTCAAAGCTGCCATCCTCCAGTGCCATACACCACAGACGCCATCTCAACGTGTTATAACAGAAAAAAACAATTGAAAAGTCAAGTTGGCGAACGCACGTTTTCGGTAATTCTTCCTCAGGCCAATACAATTACATGAACGAATGAAAATGTACAAAATCAACAGTGTTTATAGATGCCTCAAGGGCTATTAAGTCACTAACACTCATCATCCCCACGCCGCCCGCATGAGAAGGTCGGCGGGTGTTAGTCGTCAGAGCTAGGGGAGGGTGGTAAGAGAGTCTTTGGGTAATGATCTTGGATTGAGTACACGGAGTACCCATCATCGTGATTAGGGATTTGAGGCGGCATGGCTTCATCGCTTGGGGTTGGCGTTGGCCACGGCAGTGAAAGCGCTTGTGTCAGAGTTTTCTGACAGCATAACACCGGATTCACTAACCGTATAGCTACTGCCTAGGCCGTTGCTAGTATCCGTTGGCGTAGGCCTTTAGAGAAGCATGTTGGTGTCCGGTAGACAACCTGAAATGCTTTCTTGGCATCGACTCGGTGGTTCGTATCGATTAAATGCGCGAGAATAGAACTCGAAATCGACCGGGTCTCACCTCTGTCTAGCCAGGCGGGCATATGTTCACGCACCCTCTTTGCCAGGCGTCTCGTTGTGCGGCCGATGTATCCTGCTCCACAGGAGCAAGTGAATGAATAAATGCACATTGATGTGGCCTCCAACGGTAGTCTGTCTTTACCTCCCAAACGTAGGAGGGGAGAGTTTGTGAAGCATACGCGTAAATTCGCCGCAGGGAATGCCCTCGTGATAGCTGTAGTTAAGCGCCGTCGGACTAGTTCGCTCTCTGCGTCTCCTCTAAAAGGCAATCTTATGAATACATCTTTCTTTTCCGCAGTCGCAACAGTGAGCTTTTCAACGCGTTCCCCAATATTTCGGAGGATAAATCTATCTGGGTATCCGTTCTCCCGAAGTGTGTTCCGCAGCTGTTGAAGTTCTTCTTCAATTGCTTCAGGTGAGCAGATGCGTCTCACTCTAGACAAGCTGAGCACAGTGACCATCAGTGCCTCCTTCGTTAGATGATGCCGTGGACCTCCGCAGTCCGGGACCATGGAGGGCCTTGTGGTGTCGCACTCTCATTTGGCCAGAAATCACGTGCCCCATGACCTTGAATTTTTCACGGCTTCAGCGTCGCTCTGGCTCCCAGATCAGACTAACCGGGGCCGCTAGCTACAGCGCCCCCCGCAGAAATTGTTCACGTACGTCCTTGTGTAGGCAAGCGTGAGCACCCGAGGAAGTGGTCCGGAGAAATGGCGGCTGAACGTTGAATCGTTAGTCA